AACCTCACCGAGTCTCAAGATTATTTTTCGGGAGCGCATTGCCATGTTTGTCGCGAAGTGCAATCCCGATTGAGTAATTTGCATTGGGATGTATGGCAAATGTTGTTAGCTGTTTATGGGAGGGCAACGGGGTATCCTGCGGAGAAAAAAAAAACCTATGCAGAACCGGCGGAGAACGGACAACCTCCACATATAAATAATTGAGCCCAGACACTGCTCGGTGCGAGGCACAGGCATTACCACTGCGCCAGCCATCCATAATCTTCTTTCGATACACCGTTCCCAAAATACTTTTGATGCCACACAATGTGAAAAAATAATTTGGTATAGAAGCGTGATGCATTATCCGCTGCACAACCATTCCTCTCCATCCCTTGTGATTCATAAGCTGTGTTCGCGCTGGGGCATAGCTTCACTCTATTCCAAAAGCGCTTGAGCATTACCCACGAATGTATGTGCGCGCCCTTAATTCACTCTCCTTCTCGGTTTTGAACTCACCACGTGAATAACGGTCATTAAAAAAAGCTACCTTCGCAACAGGAAGAGAGAGAGAGAACAAAAAACGCGACACGTCGCACCGCGTTATCGTTAATTCTTCGTGCCCGCACGATAACAGACGGGATGATTCTGCAAGATTAATGATATCCATTATGATAATCTTTCTCTCTCCCTCGCAGTACAGAGGTAATCTAAGACGTCTTACAGCTACACTGAGTTTTTATAGGTCACTGCATTCTCAGACAAATCAAGCGAATTGTCGTGTTCCACCCGCCCTGCCACCACCCATTAGAGTGCAGGTGGAGGAAGACCCAGGCCACGAAACTCAGATTCATATTAAGCACGACCGCCTTCGTTTTACAGCTGCACGTTATATGTTTGCTCGCGGCCTATTATTGTCTCGGTATGGCAGTTTTATTATATATATATTTATTTAATGCTGGTCAGGGATTCATTTCTTATCTCGTGGACTCTGAGCTCCCGACAGCTCTCGCTTAAATTAAGCCCCTCGTTGTTGGGCATCCTCGGCAGAAGCCACCGACGGTTTACACACTTAAACCCATAAAGCACATCGAGGAAAGGTCTCACGGCGCAGTTTGTATAAATAATCTGGAGACGGCGCCAGGATGAAAGGGTTTAAAATAGACGCAGCTAAAATTCAGGAGAAAAGAATATGGGGTCTGGGCCAGCGCCATAGTTTGGTTTTCGCAGAGGCTTTGTTGAGGTCTGTTATTAAGAAGTCGTTTTTTTTACGGGGGCGTGGCCGGATAGCTGAGGGGTTAGAGCGTCTGAGCTGGCACTGCTGAGATCCTGGGTTCGATGCCATCCAGCTGTCCGCGATTAAACCGGGTTCTCGAGTGTTTTGCGCTGATGGTCTCAGCCCGGTTACCAATGACTGCGCCATACTAAAAAAAAACCCCATCAAGTTTGGTTCTGGACTTCATTTGGCTATATTCCAGATGTCAGAATGAAAATATCAGTTTTTACTGTGACGTCACAATTACTTTGTAAAGTGGGTGGGGAAGTTCTGCTCTGCCCCGTGTGTGTGGGCTGGAGGTCATTTGAAGGGACCTCCAGTAGTTCTGTGATATCCACTTCCGGGGCGCCATTCGTGAACACGAAGGGTTGCGCTTGCTGTGCGACGGATTTCAACGAATTCTTTATCTCGTGACGCAATTCCGATGGCATTGCCGGGATAACATTTCGGGGGGCAAAGACAAAGCATTGCGAAACAGACATCTCCCAAGTATTATTATGCAGCGACAGTGTGGCGATATTCATGAGCTGTGAAACTTGAGGCTTCTGTGCCTGCCTGCCCACACATAGGTCCCCGTTTGGCTGAAGTTCGACAATCCTAACCGGACAGGGCCCACACCTCAAAGACCGAGCGGTGCTTAGAGGCCCCCGCCGACCCCCCTTTCATTTTATTTTCTGAGCTCCCAGTCTGCCGCCCTTGCGAGAGACGGATGCGTGTAATGAATACAACCCCTCTGCGATGGTCGCGTGCCTGGCCTCGTCTGGCCTCGCCTCGCTCGTGCGTCGATTCGCCTTCTCCTCCGCCCCACCTGACGTGACCGTATCTCACCTGAGCAATGGTGCCTCCCTCAACGCAGCAGATCTTCGCTTATCTGCACCCCCCCCTCTCTCCGGAAGGAGGGAACGTCGTTTTAACTCCACACGGCGTGAACGCCCTTCTAACGGTCCATCACAATCGCAATCGTCGCCAAATCAACGCGTTGCTCTCCTCTCTCTCTCCTCTCTCTCTCTCCACTCAATTATTTAGTCTTTCCGTTTGCGCCGTATCGTTACCTGGGCCTTTATCTCTCGCCGACAAAAGGGCCGACCGGACGCCGCGTCCCCACCGATCGTCCCAATCGATCCCTGCCGCCCTCTCCCGCCACCCAAACAACTCGCGGTGCGTCCCCGACTTCGTCAGTGCGTCTGCGCAGCCACCACCCTCCCACCCCCCACGCGTCCCCCTGGCTGACTCCAATCGTGCGCAAACAAAGTGTGCAGGTGGAAGGGGAATACGCATAAGCTGTCCATACAAAATGTTAATAGCTTAACAAGAGCCAAGTAATTGATGCCGATTTTGATACAGGCATGCATTGTCACCGGATCTGAGTACGTGTGCAAAATTTGGAATTGATTGCACAACGGAAAGTAGACTAAATTTTGATTACAAGATTTGACTACGACAAACACAGGAGTCAAGTTAAGTAAAACCGTTGGGGAAAAAAACCCACCTCACTGCCCAAGTGCTTCACTTTAATCTCGCGGTATGTGTCACTTAATGGCCAGCGTTACATAGCCAATCATCAGCCGGGAGGCATGGTGGTAGAGCGAGGCAGTTCGCGCGGAGAGAAGCCTCGTCATCGTCTCTACGGTCCTTGGAATGTTTTAGGTGTGGGGTAGATTTTTTTTTATTTCAGTTGCATTCGTGTCACCAGCCTGGTGGCTCAGCAGTCGCGCACGCGGCTCGACACCACAGGGATGAGTTCACATCCCTGATTGGGGTGGTGGTGGGGGGGGGGAGTCGACTCAACCAATCATTTCTCGGTGGCGGCGGCGGGGAGGGCGTCAATAAAATGAGACCCACTTTGTATGTTCGCGTTCTATGTAAAGACAGGCCCCTGCCATATGAATGTGGATTACCAGGAAACATACGTCAGCAATAAAAGAGGCTTTTAAAAATGTAATGTTGACTGCGCATAACATTTATCCGGTGAAATTTTCATTTATCTTCGTATCCCAGTTCCTACATCTCTTCACATCCCTTCTCTGTTTCCCTCTCGTCCGAGCAACTGTGTCTGAGGCTGCATAAAACAAAGACAACGATAAAGACAAGCATCCCCCGTATAGCCTTTAACAGACTGGAGGGGCAAGTGCTGTTCACGAGTAACGCCTACGAAGGATGGCACAGCACACGAGGGTGTGGGTGGCCAGCACCACGCCTGGCCACCTTCATCTCGCCAGTGTTGATGTTTACACACCGCATCAGGCACTCATTTAAGGCAAAGTCGACCTAGGGGTGGCCAAGGACCAGTTTAAATCGTTGTCACTGTTTGTTGGTCTTGAGTGTGAATCGAACTCGGGTAGCCAGCTTTCGAGCGCTGTGCACTGACCGCTGCACTACCGCTCCCCACATCTACATGACAACACAAACATAAGCGGCAACAACAACAATCGCTGTCCAACACTACGTGGCGGTGACGCCACTACATCGCTTGTGCCATGCTAGGTGCACTTTGAGGCCATGTGAAGTGTCGAAGGCCCGCTTGCAGGAAGTCATGGAACAAACCCAGGTATATTTTACTCCACACAATGGACAGGAAGGACAAGATCAAAGGGCTCGCATAATGCACATGTATAATGTACGTTGACTCCTTAACCCCCCCCCCCTCCCGCACACTTTGCCCAAGAGCGCAGAAGTGTGGTCACCACATCTACGCCTCTATATAAGGACCGAAACAGACTTCAACATTAATCTGGCTGTCGCCTGATGAAGCTAGTTGTAATTACTGGCGAAACGTCGTACTCAGATTGTAAATGTTGTGGCTTGGCTCTCCAACACACCGGTGTGCTGTACTAGTGACGAATTGGCATGTTCTGTTTACGTGACAACCCTTACTAGTTGGCTGTGTTGGGTGGCGGGTTTAGTGGCACATTTAACCCCAAAAAAACTCTTATGGATTCCATGGCTTGACTGAGATGAATGACAGATGCACCAACTGTGCCCCCAACTGTGCCAGCTTTCTGCGTTTTATCCGCCCGGCATTCTACCCATTATTGTGAGCGCCGCTCCTCTGCTCTCCTTTCTTGCTGGAGGGTGACTACCTTCAACTCAACAGCAGCATCCTTCAAAAACCTCCTCCACAGAGGCTGATCTAAACACTGCTGGTACCAGTCATCGTCAAGTCAAGTCAGCCCCACATCACACGTAGACACACAAATGCTCCATCTACCATCGGCCTTCAGTCGAACGTCCCCATCTCTCTTAATTCGTTCAGTCATTACGCCGCAGATAAACCGACTTCGTCTCTTAGCCCCAAGATATTCCATACAGCGAGCAGACCTCGATTGCATCTGGCAAAAAAAAATTACGATATTGGGCTCACAGCCGCGAACGCTTCGGTAATCTCACAGTGTAACCAGCTTAATCAAAAATCTTCACCGCCTTGAAGACCACCATCACCACCACGACTCCAATCCCAATCACCACTTCAAACAAAACAACAGAGGTCACCGTGTGCTTCGGAGCTCGTGGCATGACATTTTTAGAACGACAAAAAAGTCGCCCTCCCGCCGATGAGGATCAAAAGCAAAAAAAAATATGAGAGCCACTTTGATGTTCAAAATGAAGCGGTTTTGGGGTGGCCAGTAGATGTTGACGTTTGTGCACCCGCAAGTGACATTTTTTTAATAACTTTTGAGCAAATCAAAAATAATAATAATAATAACGTTACGACCGACGTGGCCAAACCAAAACAGGACATTCTCACCTCATCAACATCCTCAAAGGCGTTAATGATGTCATAGGGCAGGCAGGAGAGCAGATCGATGATGAACCAGGTCTTCAGGTAGTTGGCCCGTATGAGCATAGGGTCCGAGATGACCTCCCCGGCCGAGCCGACGTAGGTGGTGTGGAAGTTGAGCACAATGTCCACCAGGAAGATCACGTCCACCACGCTGTCCACCACGAGCCACGCCACGTTGTTCTGCTTGCTACGGAAGGAGACGTTGTAGGGCACCATGATGGCCGTGTAGAAGGTGAGGATGAGGATGAGCCAGTCCCACGTGGTCTTGAAGGCGCAGTAGTGGAGGATGATGTGCGGGGGAGTCTTGGGCGTCTCCTGCTTGTACTGGGGCAGGCACTCCGAGTGGAGGGCCAGAGCCTTGGGAGAGATAGAGACAAACCTACTCAGTGCACATACATAACTAGGACTCTCGTGTCGCTTAGAAAGGGTCCTTGCTCATAATATCAGCAGTTCACCAGCATTGATTCAAGCAAATCTGACCGCAGATGATACACTGCATGTCAAACCGGTCCAGAGTTTTGCTTGTCTTAAATCAACGCTGCTGATATTCTACACTTCCAGAAGGGCCAGTGCAGGTGATTAGTCATGTAAGGAATACTTTTATCTATTTAGTTTAATTTTTGAGAGATGGATACGTGAATGAGACATATTGTCTTCTTGTGAATTGTTTTCATCACGTAAATACTGTGGCTCAGCGGTACAGAGAGTGGCTCGCAGGAAGGGTTCTGAGTTCAAATCCCAGTTGGGGAGATGGGGTGGGGTGAGTGGAGTTAACTTAGCCCATCATCCTGCTGGGGGTCAATAAGATCAGGACCATTTTGTGGGAGAGTCCAATGAGGAATTTCCACCACTGGAACAGGGCTGAAAAACGGGAAGTGAGCACTAATGCCGCAATGGTCGTTTGAGCAGCAGGAACTCGTTCTTGACTTCTGACTCGTTTCTGGTACCGCCGACAGCGAATTGGCATTGGCCCCGACGCCAGGAAAATTAACGGTGCCAGGAAAATTAACGGTGCCCTCCCTCACCCGTCTATAATTCTGTTGGTGCTTAGGGATTTGACGCACACTTATGTGTCAAGTTATAAACAATTGACGATGACGATATCGTATATGATGATGACAAATGTTCTCCCACTTTGTCGTATGCTGGCTGGGCCCCATCAGCAGCCCATGGGGCCCTGGTACAGATGCACCACCTGCACAACAGGCATCTGGTCTGGGACTGTTGTTGTTTTTGTTGTTGTTTTGCTGTGTTGCTGCCGTTCCCAAGTTTGCAATTGGCAGGAATTGGTGTACTTGTGCAATTTGTACTTTACATGTATTTATATTTATTTTAAAGACTTGCTTACCTTTTCTCTATGTTGCACTCGTATAGGGATTGGTTTTTTTATTGTTTGTTGATGTAACTTGCTGACCTGCCCCTAGCTGCACATCTGTTGAAAAAAGAGCTTCATAGCTCATCGGATTCCTCCAGGATAGATAAAGATTCTGATTCTGATCTACAGCACAGGGCCAATAGCCTCATGTGATGTCAGTACTGCGCAGGGCTCTGTGCTGCCACAGTTGATACACATTCTGGCCTTCTTCTTCTTCCACTTCTTAATATTCTTCGTCTTACATCACTCTGTCTTTTCCCCTAATTTTGACCCAGTTGCGTTTTGCATTTCCCATGTACTTTTTCAGTCGCTTTGAGATGCCGTACAATGTCTAGCTTTTATCTGATGCAATCCATTAATTCCTGAACCTTTATTCAGCGATTCCCCGCTTCGGCGATTCGAGGAATTGTCATGAATCTTGAGTGGCGATTGGGATCAGGGATTAATTTAATGTTGGCCTCGTTTGTGTTGTTTCTCGGGTGGGGTTCTTTTTCTCATCTCGTTTATACACGAACGTGCCGAATCTTGGCTTTCACGCCGCTTCCTTCGCTTAATTAAGTGTACGTTAACGTACGCTGAACACGTCATTTGGATTGACTCTTAAATTATACATTCTAACGCGGGATTCCTTTCACGTATCACGAGCACAAGAATCAATCGCGATCAACGGCGCGATGCCTGACAAGCAAACAGCGTTGCATACGCAGATTTTTCAGAACGAGAACATCAAACCGCTGATATATTGCATGGCCAGCGGTACGCAAGCACAAATGAAATAACTTAACACTCTCATAATAAGTAGGCGAATGCCTGTGCTAATTGCTCTTCCTCAGAGTGTCAGAAGTTATATCGGCATGCATACAGTTATTGTCCACGAATAAGCCGGTAGTGGGGAGCGGTGGTACGGTGGTTTACGCACCGCGCTATGAACCCAGTGACCTGAATTAAATTCCCGGCCGTGGTTTACATCAGTGGGTATCGGAAACCGGGCCCGATTCGTCGCCACGCCGTGTCAGTCATGGAGGTTCTTTGACCGTACTTCATCGCATTTGGTCAGTGCGATTTGGTGAAGGAGAGGGCGGAACCCAGAAGCCAGTTTAGACACGACTGTTGTTAGCTGTAGCCGGGACTCAAACATCCCATCGCTGAGTTCACAGCGCGGTGCGCTCACCACTTGCGTCACTGCTCCACATCGCCTTGAGTGCGCCACGTCTTACAATTCATTGAACAACACCCCAGTGTCTGTTTTTGTAAAGCTACGGGTCGAACCCCTAATTCATATCCAGGGGGCTTTAGCGACATAAAAGCCGTAAGACGCTTTTTGATCGGGGGGAGGGGGGGGTGGGAATCCATTCAGCCCATCTGGCTCATCTCTTTATGAATCCAGACCTTCCCCCTGAAACCTCGTAATGCCCAGAGGGCCATAAGGGAAAGCATCTCTACCTGTTACCCCCAAAGCACACTCTTTACTCAAAACAAGGCCATCCTGCTTTTAAATGATCCTACAAAGACTGCCTCCCTTGCTCTCTCTCTCTCTCTGTGACTTTCTCCCACTGGCTCTGTTATCTCTTGTATCTTTCTCTCGCGCTCTCTCTCTCCTCTCACTCGCTCTGTCTTGTTTTGTTTGTTCACCGGCTCCGGTGCTCTTCCGCGGCACAGTGTTTCGTCACGTAAGGCTTGAAATATGCGTTTAATTATAATCCGACAATCCCCGTTGCACTTCCAATTGAATCTTTGTAAACTTGACTTCGGCCAACGCCAGCGGGTACCAAATTTAAAAGAAACACTTTGCTGGGCCATTTGACGCTCTTGATGACTTTAAACAGCGGAGTGAAATCTGCTCAATCTTCCCTCGCTTCAATGGAAATGTTTCCGGATTTCTCAGTCGTCTCATTTCCAGCACAAAGGGTATTCTGACATCCCTGCTCCCTTCTCAAACACTCGTTATTCGCTGCCATGAATACGAAATAATATCGGCAGGCCAAATGTTTTAGGCATTCTTGGCAATAACAGCCGAAAACTCTTCAAAACTACGATGCCAAAGGGTGCCCATGGGTTGTCTGGCCTCATCTTCAAAGCTTGATTGTGTCTGTGATGTGAGAATACTCCATGCCTTTGTGTGTGTTTGTGTTTATTATACATATAAAGTGGGAAGTTCAAATACTGTAACAACTTCATATTCAAAATGAAACACAGAGGCATGCTAATTAGTAAATGAAGTTAATTTTTTTGTTAAATACTCACCTCGTTTAAAAATATGCTCATTTATGTACTGTCTTGCCAAAAAGAAATGAATGCAATTTTGCCAAATTTCCCAATGGCAGGATCCTCGTGAAAGAAACCCTTGAGACTCAATGAGGCTTTCTTGGATGAACCCGTTCTTATTATTTATTGCAATCTTTTTGAAAACTTTAATAACGATAATTATAACAATAAAATCAGTGATATCACAAGTGGCTGTGTGTCTCCCCTAAAGCAACTCAGCCTTAAATTAGTATTATGTACGTACTGTGTGTTGAAGCTCTTTCGCACCGTATGTAGCCAACCGTGCTAATCGGAGGTTAGGGGGAAGGACAACAAACTAAGCACAAAAATAAGTTCTAAAGAATGCGTTTCAATCTAGATTTGAAAGTACTTAGCTCCATTGGCTTCCTAATATTGGAAAGGAAGAGCATTCCAGACGGCCGCAGAAACGCATCTGAAAGCGCGCGATGCGGTGACCGCCTTTGCTTGATGGCAAACCAAAAGCCACTGGGAGGATAACCGGAGTTGCCGTGACGGTTTATGAATACTTCAGCATTGGAGAAAAAAAGCGATCGGCCATGATATTTTCTGGCCACGGCCTTAATAGATGTTCGCTGACAACAGGGGTGGCCAAACGGCGGCTCATGAGCTGCCTGCGGCTCCCGGCCAGTTCATACATACGGCCACTTTACTTGAAACAGGAAAATAAATCTGTGGAAGCAGCCAAGTGGCACTCGCCATTGATGGAGGAGCGAGGCGTGCACGCTTCGGCGGACGAATGCTTTTCGTGCTAATTTTTCGTTTTTACGAAAATGAACACCGGCGCGCGGAGGCGCGTTGGGGGGCGCGCGGGGGGGGGGGGGGGGGGGGGGGGGCATCACCTCGGCTGGACGCAGCGGCTTGTGTCCATTCTCCCCGCGGTGCGCGCTGGCAGCCAACTGCTGCAGGGCACTCCTGCTGCTGGTGAGGGCTCGTGTCAGGCGCGCAAACTTGGCCCAGCCTGCACATCGCACGGAGGGGGAGAGAGAGAGATTCTCCCAAATTATTCGACGCACAGCTCCGCGGCTCGCTCGCACGAACGCGCGCGCGCGCACGTGTCGTCGCGGCGGACGATACCTGCGGGGAGGAGCGGATGCGTGGGAAAGTTAATAAAAACAAATGAAAGGTTTGGTCCCCATGCCACCGGGGGGCTCCCGGTTTTGTGTCAAAGGAATGGAGTTTCACAGCCATTAATCGCAATGTTCCGTGGCAATCAGGAAGCGATGACCATGAGAAAACAATAAAGTGTTGTTTTTTTTTTCACTTTAAAGTAAACAAATACCGTGCAACCGGTCTGGGAGTCCACTGTTGGTGCTGTGTGTTTTTGCCATATCATGTGTCAGTCAAGGCACTTTTTGGAAGGATGTGTGGTTTTTGAAGGGGTGGAGTGGTGGTGCAGTGGTTACCACGTGGAGCGAGCAACCGGAAAACCCGAGTTCTATTCATGGCCATGTCTAATGTGAGCCCTCACCTACTCCACTGCACTCACCCACACTGAGCAGTGTGGTGCACTCTATTCAAACAACTTCCACGACCGATATGAGTTATCTGAAACTCAAAATGTCTAAGGAGAGGAGAGGTATAAAAAGGGATGATGATGATGATGACAAAAAATAGGGATGCAAAACTCGGTAAAACCATTAGGACATAAATGTATAGAATGAATGCTTAAAAAAACATAATAAAACACAACACAAAAATGATTTAAAATCTCCCAACAAAACAATGGGAGCATGAAAGCATCAAAAGGGAAGTTGATGATTGGTAAATCATAAATAGTAGCCCTCAGAGAGAGAGCAATGAGACCATAATGCGTGATAGATTCAGAATAATAAAACTCTGTAGCACAAAAAGGAATCGTATATAACGCGGGAAACAAATCACTTTTCATTTAAGGAGGACATTCAAGATAGATGTCACACTTGAGAAAGCAACTTACAGCCACTCATAGCATGAAAACAATAAAACTCAGACCCGGACGAAATAACTGGATGACTGTGTACATCGTCAAAAATCGAAGAAAATTAGCGGACCTATTTTACTCAATGTTGGTGCATGACTTAAATATCCCAAATTTAGATTTAAAGCTTTCGTGACTGCAGGGATTCATATTTTTTGTTCTTTCGGTAAAGTCACGTAGAAGGGAAACAATAAAATAATAAACGTCGTGAGAATTTTATTGTTTAATATTTTTCTTATTTTATTGTTTCCCTTCTACGTGACTTTACCGAAAGAACCAAGAATATTTAAATATCCCAGTCGCGGAATAACCGAACCGAACAACGCAGCAGAGTATGTACAGCGAGGACACACATTGAAGGCAGGCAGGACAATGAATGACAAAATAAAGGGGGTGAGCAAGAGCAGGTTGGAGTGCTCTTGATCAACAACAGATTATAAAGAACAGCCGAAACATCAACTCGCCTCCTCCATGCGTGTGCATCCCGCTCTCCACATAAATAATAAACGCATTTCTTACACAAAACCCATCAGCTGCACGGCCTTCTGGGGTTTCATAATTTCAGCAGGATTGATTGAATAAAAAAAACACACTGGTACGCCATCAACACTCACATTTGTCTCCTCAAAAAAAAGAGTAAGGCTTCCTTCAATCACTGCTGGTGTAGTGACATCGCGGGTTGTCCCTGTGCTGTGCCGGCCTTAGAGAGGCACGGCGTGCGGTGTAGCGACATCGCGAACACCGCAGTGGTGTGGGTGCAGTACCGGCCCTCGAACGGCTCGGTGAGCGCTGATTGATAGCGCTGGATGGCACCACGCTTGGCGTGCAGTGCCGACCCCTACAGGATAGGGTGTGGGAGTGCTGGCCATGGAAATGGGGTTACTAAAGGCCGTGGCACTCTGGTTGACCCGAGAGGACACGTGATCGGTTAAGTCTACAAAGGGCCCCCAAGTGGGGACTAAGAGTGGTCACGTGGTCGGGGTCCAGATCCTGCTCGAGGATTCTGGAAGGTGGTCGTGGCTAAGGGCGGAGCCAGCCACGCCGCAGAGGATATAAGGTGGGTCCCCCCAGAGGGGCCGGCGTTGTTGTTGTTGTTCATCCTGAAGAAACCTTCGTCTATGTTCTACCGAGTCTCCAACACGTGGACCGGGACCCGAGCTGCAGTCTGGTTCGTTGTAGCTAGTTACGGTGTAATTAGTGTAGTTAGCCGGGTGGTGACCACCATAGGTTGTTGTTCTGTTAAGGGGCAGTTCCCCCTTGTGTTGGTGTTAAATAAATGTGCCGCCTCTAATAGTATTTCTGCGACTCAGTTGAATCCACACCACTGGTAAAACTGCCGATGTTGTAGGCAAGGCACCTCTATCTACAACATGGGGTTCCCAACTCAAATTAATAATTAGCGTAATTGTAGAGAATATAAATAACGTAGTAAATGAAACGACTAATTTACTCATTAATGTATTATGACGAGGATTGGAAACATGGCCGCTGATGAAGAAAATGAAACAAACACTGAAATGTGTCCAAATACACATGGACAGATGCATGCTGGGAATCACAATAAAGACGGAAAGAAGAACACATGGATAGAGAACAAATGTCAAATAAGAGACGTCATATTGACTGTTAAAAGTATAAGTTGGTTTTGGGTAGGAGACGTCGATAGAAGGGATGATGGCTGATAGATGAAATTGGTGCCAGAATGCAAACCAAAGGCGGAAACACACCCAGGAGTGCGGAAACACGCCCAGGAGGGTGACGACGACGGAGATGGAGCAACGAAATAAACTCACACCAAGCAGCGAGCAGGATCATGGGATCGCAAGACTATGACAGGTGAGGATGACAGGAGGAGGCCTTTATCCAGCGGTGGATAGATTGCGACTGTTGCTGATCATGAGGCATGGAGTGGCAGTATAATGATTCGCACGCAGCGCTACGAACCAGGCGTCCCGAGTTCTATTCCTGCTTACAGCAATCACCTAGGTAGACTCAGCCTCAAATTAGTACTTGGCGCGATGTGTAAGTATCGCCACTGTTGCTGGCCACTTGCCCCAAAAGTATTTGATCATATGTAGGCCAGCAATTATTTGACAACAGGCGCATCAAATGTAATTAGTTATTATTAAGTTTTCCATTGTTAAAATCTAATCATCGGGATTTTAAATAAGGCCAGCATCACATCACTGATATATTTTAAGCAGTTAAATCGCCAACTTTTTAGCCAGCACACGCACACGTATTATAAATTGGTAGTTTTCAATCAGCGCACGCTGCCCCCTATGACCTATGCATCAGAAACTTGCGCACTGACAAAAGGAAATGTGAAGAAATTTTTAAAAAACCCGTTAAAGCAAACAGAAGCAGCATGGGGAGAGAGAGAGAGAGAGAGCTGCTGAAAATGACACTGAGCAATAGGAGAAGAAGGTACGTGGATCAGATGGACACGTCTCAAATCGGAGATATCAACGGCGATCGTCTGAGACAGCGAGTGGGCTCGGGCAGGACACGCCCGCCAGAAGGGATGACTGATGACCGACGGACCGCACCGATGGCAGGATGGCAAATACATAAATAACTAACGGGAACATTGCCCCCGACAGGAGAACCGCCGTGGTGGAGATGGAGCGACGAGATCAGTTCGTGCGCGGCACTCTGAGACGGATTGCGGCACTGGCATCCAACTGCGGATAGAACATGGCTACTGGCAGCCGTCCGCGTTGACGGTGACTGAGACATCTCTAATTGACCTGGAGAGACATTTGGTTTGCGCAAGTAATAAAACGCTTGCCATCCTCTTTTAGTGATTATTTTTTTGGGCAACTTTCCGGCAAAGGACCTGTGGATTTGGTCCTCCCGGGGTAAATGCAACCCGACGGCAAAAAAAAAAATTCCGATTACGCCGCACTCAAATGCGGCGTATTTTTGCACAGAACATCACATTTACAGACGTGTTTGTAGGCGTCATGGAGCGCGATCTCTTAAAATTGCCGCGAATCATCCCGTGAGAGAGCGAGCGAGCGTGCTTATCGCCCGCAGGCATTCAGGATTAGCATATCGGCACGAGGCAACTTGGTGGCACGGCAAACAGCAATAGCCGCCCAGCTGTGCACGAGCTGTAGCTCTCCGCGAGAAAATTGCTCCCAGTGAAATAATGGGGGTCTCGGATAAACGCATTACCCCTTGTGCAGAATTTCAGGCCATGGTGTCCACTATTGCTGCTCAAGTTTCTTAAGCCCACACCCAGCCCCGAACCGCCCTCCTGCACCGCTTCTGTCTACCCAGCTGTATAAATGAGCACCACCACAGTTAGCCGATCGGCAGATAGTGGGGTAGAGTGTGGGTACCCGCACCTTCTTCCAAGATTTTTTTTTTATTTCCCCCCCCCCAACATGTGATAGTAGCTAAAAAAAAACCTCCTTCTGGTGGTGGTGGGACGGGGGTGGGGGGAACTCTCTATAGCTCCCTCTGCAGTGGAGACCGTTCTGTCCAACAGTGGCGCGAAGCGAGCAAATCGCAGGGCTTGCACCTTTACCACTCGCCACCGTTGCTACCGTTGGAGATATTGGAGATAATGAGCTTTGGCCAGTGACTGGCGGAGCGTGAACCTCATTCCGGGCAGGTGGCCTCCCCAAATGTTCACGGCTACTCATGACAAAAACAACCTCCCCCCCCCCCCCAACCATCCTCCACACTGCCCCCTCCGAAATGGTTTCCAGGACATTCTTCGCATGGGTTCGAATCCGGCTCTGTCAGCGGACTATTAATTACGAGCGGATCAGTCAAAAGTTGAGATTGCACTGCAGTCTTTTCACTACTCTATCGAATTCAGGTTTCATCCGCCCACAGTTAAACCGGGTCCTCCTTAACTGTAGTTTAGTTTATGTCTCGACCCCGGTCACCAATTACTGCACAAGAAGACCGTCACATTACATTTTTGTTTTGACTTAATTTGGCTAAATTCCAGCTCTAGGGATGTAAAATATTGTTTTGGCTGCCAC